AAGATACTTAAGACTTAATTAAATTAAAAAATAAAACATAAGTTAAATACAAAAGTTAAATCTTTATAAATATATGATTGTTAAAAATGTTTTGATCAATATTTTCCCTTTTTCTCTTTTTTTTTCAATAACACCGGCACCCCCAAGGGTTATATAACCTTTTAACATAGACCACAAATTTCAAAATCCTTCCGCAAAATGTGAATAATTTTTCTTTGTCGGTCCTTCCTCTACTGAAGTCATAATCATAGATATTTTTTTTATTTCAAAAATAATAATACAACAAATAAAAACTTCGAGCAAAATTCTTGAAAACGAATATTGTTAAACCTTTTCACAAGATGGCGTTTGTAGATAGATTTAAAATTTCCTAAAAACTTAAAATTATATATACTCCTGTTTATTTCTAAGACAATATATTTATTAATATATCTTAATTATCTCGCCATTTCCGAAGCCGTTATCATAGATATCTGTTATCAATAAAAAAATGAAAACATATCTCAGCAAAGTTCTACAAAACAAAAATTGTTAAACGTTTTCCAAAGATGATATTTGTAGATAAATTTAATATTTCTTAAAAACTGATAATATTGTTTGTTCTCTTGTTGTTAAATTATGTCAATTTATTTATTAATAAATCAAAATCAGTCAATCAAAACCCTAAGACCAAATATATTTTGATTAATTAAGGTTTTTAGTTGATATGAAAAAGTCAGTGTCACGAGCGGGATTCGAACCCACGACCTTCGGTGAATATATTTTGATTTTAATTCCCCCGCTACTTCTGAAACCACATTCATGCATATTGTTTATCAACAAAAAAAGAAAAAGCTTGTTTATTTTTATTTCAATACTAAAAACATACTAAAGATATATCTACAATTTCCTAATAAATAAAAATAAAGTTTGTAGTCTTAACAGTTTAATCTAGACTAGTAAATCAAAAGCCTACGACAAAATATATTTTTAGCCTTAATTTTCTGCCCATTTCTGTAGCCATAATAATAGATATTTTTAATAACAAAAATGCTAAAACATATTAAAGATATATTTAAAATTTCCTAATAAATAAAAATAAAGTTAGTTAACAGCTTAATCTAGACTAGTAAATCAAAAGCCTACGACAAAATGTATGTTTATCTTATTTCTCCCGCCACTTCTGATGTCGTCATCTTCGATAATCATGATGACCTGACATATTTAAAAAATACAATGTCTAGTATTACGTAAAGTTCACTATTTTTCGTGGTCCGCTTGACCAATTAATATCATTCAATTAATTAAGGTTTTTAGATGAGAAAAAAAGTCAGACGAGCGGGATTCGAACCCACGACCTTCGGCTAGATACACCGCTACTCTACCACTTAGCTATAGTGACTTCCATCCACTCGGACACTAACTTCTCATCTCAACCCCACCTTTTGAATTTTCCCTTATTTTTGCCATTTTGCAAATGTCGTGTAATCTATTTGATTCTCGGCGACAAATGACAAAGGAGGGAAAATTTAAAATAGATGAGGTTAAGATTGGAAGTTAGTGCCCGAGTCACGATAGCTCAAGTGGGAGAGCGGCGAATCAAGCCGAAGGTCGTGGGTTCGAATCCCGCTCGTGACATTGACTTTTTATCTCAACTAAAAACCTTAATTAATTGAATTACGTAAAGTATTACTATATGAAATTCTGTCGAACTGTTAACCAAATTTATATGTTCTTAGCTAAACAAAGAGCTTTTATGATCGATCATAACTTATTTGTTCGCTAAATTTTCTAAATTAATCATTTCATAATAAATATTTCATCTTTCTGTAAAATCATAAGTTTATTACAAAATAAATCCTTTTGAACTTCAATGAGATAAAATTTAAAAAATTAGTTATTTTCATACGCTACATTTATTGTAAATATTTTTTTACAATTCAAAACAGGTTAAGCAACAAATATAATTTGGTGGACATATGTATACCAGCTTGATCAACTAGCGTTTTTTTCGAGATGCGCGTATGTTAGAAAGGTGTGGTTCTCATCAGTTACAGATTAGCCTAAGACAGCTTTTTACCAATTTATCCATTTTTTGCATGTGGTACAGTACATATATCAGCGAAAAAACAACAAAGCTAAAGAAGAATCTTTGCGTACTATGGATTTCAATTGGTGATATTAATGCTTAAAATTTGGTACGCAACCGAATCAACGTTTGTTTTGATATTTTATCTCGCTCGTATTCCGTGCTCTATTTGCTAAATCATCTACTTCGACATTGAAACTGTAGTTACTATGTCCTCTAACCAATGCGATTTTTACATTTGTCCTTTTTTCCTTATTAATTACACCTGATGTCTTGTAAAACGTGTTTCGAGGTTGTTTGTTGAATTTCAATGAATAAAGGACACTTTGGCTGTTAGATAAAATCACTCCTTACTTGCATATCGTAAGCCTTCTCATTTGGCTGTAAATATCGAACACACAGTCATCTAAATATTTTGAAGTGGTTTTTAATGACGTCTATGAACACCATTAATTATTTTTGTTAATAATACTGAGCCTGGGCCAGTAAAATTGAAAGCCTACACTCAAGCACGTATTTTCTTTGTTAAAAAGATTATTTGGAGATCGTGAGATGCGGTCTGGTGAGACGTAGATTTAGAAAAATATTTTCATTATCGTGCCAACGTTTCAAACTTTATTGAAATCATCTTCAGGGCCTGGGATTTATAAACGTTGTTTAAATTTACAAGTGCATGTAAGATGTGAAAAAACTTATAAAATGCTAGAACTTACAGCCTAGTAACTACTGTTTATTGAAAAGTTGGACGAACACTTCAATCGGATACAAAATCTTCGATATTTAATGAGTGTATTTTTAATTAAAAAAAAACCCTCTAATATTTTATCAATTAATATTCTCTGATGCGACAAATCTTAAAATAATTTGTTATGATCATTCGTATATTTTTAACCTATATACGTACAAAGATTTTTTAAATTAATTTTTTTTGTTATTTTATGAATAATACTTTTAATTTCCAAAAAAATAATAAGAAGAAAAGTGTGCGATTACAATAAATGTAATTTAAAATGATATTAATTTATCCAAATTTTATTTTTTAATAATTATACCTGATTTGTTGGTACAAACATTTTCAATTTTCGAATGTTGGCTTTTTTTTAACGAAACACACCATTTATTTTTATGCTATATGTTTAAATTCCTTAAGCATTCAGGCCACATCACTGATCCCTCTTCAGAAGTACAATATTTTCTTAAAATAAATAAAAAATTATTTTTATAAAAAAACTGTGAGAAATCTTTCTGTGTGTTCATACCTCACTATTTAGCGAAGTGGAACTGTCATTCCAACAATTAGGGACAAAATAAATTTAATCGACCAAAGTAAAATTTTTATAATAACCTCAATAGAGAGAGCGGTGAAAAAAAAGTTATTGGTTTTATATTCATTGCTGGTTTAACAGACAAAATACAAAAAGGTTTAAAAAAATACTCGTAAGATTTCTGTTTTTATAACTACTTAAATAAAAAAGTAAGTACTGTCATTCCAACAATTAGGGACAAAATAAATTTAATCGACCAAAATAAAATTCTTATAATAACTTCAATAGAAAGAGTGGTGAAAAAAAATGTTGGTTTTATATTCATTGCTTGTTTAACAGACAAAATACAAAAAGGTGTATAAAAAAAGAAAGTCCTCGTAAAGATTTCCGTTTTTATAACTACTTAAATAAAAAAGTAAGTACTGTCATTCCAACAATTAGGGACAAAATAAATTTAATAAAGTAAAATTTTTATAATAACTTCAATAGAGAGAGTGGTGAAAAAAATGTTGTTAAAAAAAGGCAAAATACATAAATGTACAAAAAAAAAATGCTAGTAAAGATTTCTATTTTTATAACTGCTTAAATGAAAAAGTAAGTACTGTCATTCCAACAATTAGGGACAAAATGACTTTAATCGAACAAAGTAAAATTTTTATAATAACCTCAATTCAGGGAGTGGTGAAAAAAATATTATTGGTTTCATATTCATTGCTGTTTTAACAGACAAAATACAGAAATGTATAAAAAATGTGCTCGTAAAGATTTCTGTTTTTATAACTACTTAAATAAAAAAGTAAGTACTGCCATTCCAATAATTAGGGTCAAAATAAATTTAATCGAACAAAGTAAAATTATTTGTACTTGTTACAACGCTTATGTTGGAAAAACCATACAATTTCATAAAACCAGAATGAATCAACACGGAAAAATTGACATAAATCAGCGAAAACCACAGGATTAGCTCAAGATGTTTTTGAGAGGAAATATAAATTTCAAAATGCTAAAATTCGTAAAAAAGAAAAAAATGAAATCAAATTAAATTTAGAATCTGTACAGATAAACCGAAAACAATATAAAAAAATGACTCACAGAACATGAACTACCAATATAAAAATATTTCGAACATTTATCAAAACTAACCTAGACGGAAAGTAAAATTTGATTTAATGTGAGCTACATAATGTTTGTTATATTTATTGTTTTTACTTATTTGTATAAAATCTTTTATGTTGTAATTTTATAGTTATTGATTTTATATTTGTTATTTATTCTTTTTGTATTTTATAATATTATTGAGTATTTATTGTTTCTATTTATACTAACTCTATACATATATTTATAGTATTTAATTTATATATCTAAGTGTGATAAAAAATGTATTCATGGCTGCAAATTCTTAACATCTTAAAATTTAATTTTCACCAAAGATTTGTATAGTTAATAGCTAAAGGAAGATTACTTGCGGTTTTTTTTATAAAAAAAAGAATTGTTTATTTATTACAATAAAATATTGTATTTCTGAAAAGGGCCAGAGACGTGGTCCAAAATGTATTAGCAATTAAAATGTATGGCATGTTGTGTTTGGTTAAAAAATAACCAATATTCTATATTAAATATATTCGTTTATATTTAAAAAAAATCTGATTAGCAAAATAAATACATACATCAATGTGAGAATAATCCTTGTTTTCAAATCTTCTTTTTAACTGGAATGACAAAAGACACAACACAAGTCACTGTACACAAATAAATCTATTTCCCTGTTGTATTTATTTTTTTTTTTTAATTAGAAAATCCCGAAAAAACGCGATTGTGCAAAAACGAAAAAAAGTTCGAAAAGACGAACTTCGGTAAAGCAACGGATGGAAGTCGGTTCCCCTTCGGAAGTCGGGTTGAAACTGAATTGTAAGGCGCTCGCGAGGCGAGAACCGAGACTGGGCCCAGGGCTGTCACGTGACACTGACGTCAGAGACACTTGTTTGCAGCACCGAACGGCACATGTGTGCTGCACGCACGGGGGTTGGTACGGCCAAGGGGAAGCACACCCTCAACAAGAATTTTATCAGAATATATTTAAAAAAAAAAAACAACCCTTAATAAAACCTCAACAAAAACACACCCACATTAAAACATAACAGAAACACAAAAACAACTAAACAAAAAGGAAAGAAGAAAACATAACACAAAAGATCAATGTTTTTTTGGGTAACGGCGCTTCATCCATTCTCGCTACATTTTTCATCTTGAATATATTAATTCCATTAGAAATAAAAATTCCCACGACTTTACGTATTTTTGTAATTACAAGTGCATAATATAAATCTTAATAACATGGAATAGGGGGCGTCGGTGGCCGCAAGGTTTAGTCTTTGACACGGCGCTCATCACTGTAAGGTAAAGGTCCCGGGTTCGAATCCAGCGGCCCTGCATTCGAACCCGACATACTTACAAATGGGCTTTTTTTCAAAAACACCGGCACCCTGAGGGTTTATATGACCTCTGCTGTTGCGAACCCTCGTAAAAAAATATTTAAAAAAAAAATAAAAAAAATAACATGGAATAAAATTCGGCCTGGGAAAAGCCAAAATATACTTTATAAGTAATATACAAGTATACATAAAAATATCAAAAGTTTTATTTCCATAAAAAGAATGTCAGCTGTTTTTCGTGTTTTTTTTGCTTTAAGGTCAAACTAAAGCAAGTAATAAATGACTTATTAAAAAGTTTTAACTGGAAAACAGGCGGGACCAAACGGACCCGGAATATGATCGGTGTTCAAACAGCAAAAATTTTATTTCTGTAAAATTGAACAACTGTTGAGCCTTTTTTTGACTCCCTATTTGTCTTTTTTTCTATTTTAAATTTATCTTTTATTAAAATTTATAAATTTTATTTAGTGCAAAAAAATAGGAGGATTCGTTTTACTTCTTATGGAAATAAAACTTTTTTTTGAACAGGTATAACTTAGGTACGTTTGGTCTCTCTAATTGTCACAATTCCAATCAAAATTCGTCTCGTCTTGTGACATTTCGTAGTTTCGAGAAAAATTGGGTTTTGTAGGTCTCTTGGGCAATGGTTCAAAGGATTTTGGACTGTGGTGACTAAGAACGATTCGAATGGCTGTAGTAATGATGTGCAAATGATTTTTTTCTGGGGTTGCGAGTAATCTTTTGTCGATGTAAAACCCCAAATAGTAGACGAAATGGTTGACAGAAAATATAAAGTGTACATTTTGAGAGCAAACTCTACGAAAAGTCTTAATACCATTAGAAGTAAAAATTCCCACCCCATTTTTGGTACTACAAGTACATAATGTAAATATTAATAAAATGTAATGAAATTCGGCCTGGAAAAAAGTCTGATAGCGAGACTTAACGGATCCAGGGTCAGATCAGTGCTGAAATATCAAAGGTTTTATTTAATACGTATTTTTGATACTAGAAGTGCATACTATAAATCCTAATGTGTGGTGATTATTAGTGACCGTTAATCGATAATTATTCCGAAATCGTGAGATGCGGTCTGGTGTTATGTAGGTTTCAGAAAAACATTTTCTTTATCGTGCCAACGTTTCGATCTTTATTGAGATCATCTTCAGGGCCTGGGATTTTCAAACATTGTTTACATTTAAAAAATACATGTAGGATGTTGAAAAAGTGAATTTTTACAAGGCAATTATTTAGTATATGTTAAATGTAAACAATGTTTGAAAATCTCAGGCCCTGAAGATGATCTCAATAAAGATCGAAACGTTGGCACGATAGAGAAAATGTTTTTCTGGAACCTACATCACACCAGACCGCATCTCAAGATTTCAGAATAATTATAAATCTTAATAACATGTTATGAAATACGACCTGAGAAATGCCAAAATATATCAAAAGTACTATATAAGGATATACTTTATATAGCAATATATAATCAAAATTCGTCTCGTCTTGTGAAATTTCTTTGGTTCGAGGAAAATTGGGATTTTGAGGTCTCTTGGACAATGGTTCGAAGGATTTCGGACTGGGGTGGTTAGGGATGGTTAGGGTGACTAAGAACGATTAGAAGGCTGTAGTAATGATGTGCAAATGATTTTTTCTGGGGTTCCGAGTAGTCTTTTATCGATGTACAACCGCAAATAGTGAACGAAATGGTTGACATAAAATATGAAGTGTACATTTTGAGAGCAAACTCTACGAAAATTCTTAATTCCATTAGAAGTAAAAATTCCCACCCCATTTTTGGTACTACAAGTGCATAATATAAATATTAACAACATCTAATAAAATTCGGCCTGGGAAAAAGTCAGATAGCGAGACTTAACGGACCCAGGGTCAGATCAGTGCTGAAATATCAAAGGTTTTATTTCTATTTTTTTGCTTTACTACTACTTCAATATGAAGCAAGTAAATAAATAACTTATTAAAAGTTCTAACTGGAAAAAAGGCGGGACTAAACGGACCCGGTATATGATCAGTGTTCAAACAGCTAAAATTTTATTTCTTTAAAATTAAACAACTCTCAATCCATTTTGTCTCATTAGTTTCATTTTTCTAATTTAAATTTATCTTTCATTAAAATTTATAAATTTTATTTAGTGCAACAAAAATGGGCGGATTCATTTTACTTCTTATGGAAATAAAACTTTTTGTTTGAACACTCATAACTTAAGTCCGTTTGGTCTCGCCAACTGCCACATCTCCGATCAAAATTTGTCTCGTCTGTGACATTTTGTATTTTACGTTACAAAACTTTAACGTAACTCTTTAAATTCACCAATTTCGTGGTCCGCTTGACCAATTAATATATTACAATTAATTAAGGTTTTTAGTTGAGATAAAAAAAAGTCAATGGCACGAGCGGGATTCCATTAAAGGAGGGAAAATTCAAAAGGTGGGGTTGAGATGGGAAGTTAGTGTCCGAGTGGATCGCCGTCACGATAGCTCAAGTGGTAGAGTAGCGGCGTATTTAGCCGAGGGTCGTGGGTTCGAATCCCGCTCGTGACAATGACTTTTTTTCTCAACTAAAAACATCAATTAACTGTACTTTAACGTAACGTTTATAAATTTGTAAACGTAGTTATAAAAGACTACTTGGAACCCCGGAAAAAACTCATTGGCACATCACTACTACAACCGATCGAACTGTCGAACAGTCCGGTTCAACCAATGGTTCAACACCGTAGTCACCACTGTCCAAAATCCTTCGACCAATTGCCCAAAAGACCTCCAAATCCCAATTTTCATCGAAACTACAAAATGTCACAAGACGAGACGAATTTTGATTGGAAATGTGACAATTGGCGAGACCAAACGGACCTAAGTTGTAGTGTTCAAACAAAATTTTTTATTTCCATAAGAAGTAAAATAATCCGCCCATTTTTGTTGCAGTAAATAAAACTTATAAATTTTAATAAAAGATAAATTTAAATTAGAAAAAAGACAAATAGGGAGTCAAAATGGATGATCAGTTTTTAATTTCTACAGAAATAAAATTTTAGCTGTTCGAACACTGATCATATTCCGGGTCCGTTTAGACCCACTTTTTTCCAGTTAGAACTTTTTAATATTTATTACTTGCTGTAGTTTGATCTTAAAGCTAGAAAAACGCGAAAAATATAGGATTTTCTTCATACAAAAATAAAAATTTTGATATTTTTATGTATACTTATGTATATACCTATACACACCTATATATACTTTGGTATATTTTGACTTTTCCCCAGGCAGAATTTCTTTACATGTTATTAAGATTTTATGCACTTGTATTAACAAAAATACGTAAATGAGTGAGAATTTTTGCTTGGAATTTATACTTTTCGTAGAGTTTACTCTCAAAATGTACACTTCATATTTTTTGTCAATCATTTCGTCCATTATTTGGGATTTTACATCGACAAAAGACTCTTGAAACCCCGGAAAAAAAAACTCTTTTATCCATCATATTACTCGTTCCAATACCAGAGTCACCCCAGTCCAAAATCCTTCGAACAATTGCCCAAGAGACCTCCAAATCCCAATTTTCCTCGAAACTGCAAGATGTCGCCTCCATAAAACCCTAGACCTTCATCCCAACAAATTTCATCCGAAACTCTTTCCAAAACCCCTCTTTTAAGACGCCTAATGCGCAAATGTCCTAGTGATTTCCTCCCTAGAGGGAAAGGTGGCTCGTATCTGGTTAAAATGCACGAACTCATCTTTAAAAAGTCATGAAAAGCCGAACGACAGTTATGCCTGTTCATCATGCTAATCTGCCCCTTCCATAAAAGTCATGATTGTTAACGATCCGATTGAATATTGAGAAAGGTCACGGACCTTTTCCGAAGAGCCGGCCCAAGTACAATGGTGCGATACCGCCCGGACCCGAATAACAGTACGGTACGGTCGTACAGTCGTGACGCTACCGTTTCATAAATCGTGATCGGATCCGTTTTACAAAATCGCGGTCCCGTCCCGGCGAGGTTCGACCCGTCATGGCCTTTAACCCCGGACAGTTGATTGGAGAAAGTCCGTGACAACTGGAAAAAAAAGTTATACCGCTGTATAACTACAAATTATAGGGCGTGGGACAAATTGGAAGGCGATGATGTAAATACATCACCTTTGACAACAAATTGAATACTTTTCAAGTATAACTGACTTGAAGGTTCTCTATTCTTGTCAGGAGGCTGTCATTAGTAGCACAACTCAACAAAATTCCTAAACCTTCCCGATAATACATGCAATACATACGGAATATGGAAAGTATCAGGATGAAGCATAGGGCACAAACAATTTGTGATGTAAAAACCACCGACGAAAATTGAAATGTCGTAGACTTGTAAGAATCGGCCAGTTAACATTGCTCGATCTAAAAGGCCAGGGGCAATGTTAGATATTAGGACGAAAATGTAGTGACAT